AAGCCTTGTACATGTTTTGTTAGATTTACACCTGTTTCATTTTAAAAATTGGTTGATGTCCGTGTGTTCATTGCTGGTATACAGAAATACAATTGATCTTTGTATGTTTATCTTATATCCTGTGGTCTTGCTGAATTCACTCATTCTAGGGCTTGTTTTTCTAGATTCCTTAGGATTTTCTACAATCATGTCATCTGCAAGTAGGGACAGTTTAATTTCTTTCTGATCTGTGTGCCGTTTACTTTATTTTCTTGCCTTACTGTACTGTCTAGGACTTTCAGGACTATGCTGAATGAGAGCAGTGAGGGTGGACATCTTTGCCTTGCTCCCAGCTTTAGGATGACAGCATTCAGTCTCTTACCATTAAGTAAAATGTTAGCTGTACATTTTGTTGTAGATGCTCTTTATCAGGGTGAGGAAGTTTCCTTCTATTCCTATTTTTCTGATGGTTTTTATCATGAATGGCTGTCGAATTTTGTAAAATGCTTTTTTTGCATCAATTAATATGATCATATAATCTTTAACCTGTTAACATAGTAGATTACATTAATAGATTTTTGAATTTTTAAAAATAATATTGTGTTTTTGGTGAAGGTTTACGCAGTTTAGGTTCCCATTCAGCAGTTTCTGCACAGATTGTTCAGTGACATTGGTTACATTCTTCACAATGCGTGAACATTCTCAGTATTTCAGTTGTTCCGTTTCCATTAATCTAGTTTCCCTGCCCCCCACGTTCTCATTTTTGTTTTAAAGTAATTGTTGACTGTTTGGTCTCATGTAGGTGATTTTTTTAAGGGAGCACAGTACTTAATGGGTGATAACTCATTATTTTTTGAGCCAGTTTGTTACAAGATGACGTTAGGGGTTAGTTTTGGTTCAAGGTTTTGAAGAGTATCTCAGAGCAGTGGTCTCAGGGAGTCCTCTAGTCTCAACTAGTCCAGAAGATCTGTTTTTTTTTTTTTTTTCTTATTTGTTTGTTTGATTGATTTTTAGGAATTTGAGATTTTTCTCCCATTCTGTCAGGTCCATCTGCTGTGGCCCTGATCAGAAAGGTGATACTGGTAGTCGGGCACCATCTAGTTCTTCTGGTCTCAGGGTAAATGAGGCTATCTTAGTCATCTAGTGCAGCTCTAACAGAAATACCACAAGTAGATGGCTTTAACAAAGAGAAGTTTATTCCCTCACAGTCCAATAGGCTACGAGTCCAAATTCAGGGCATCAGCTCCAGGGGAACGCTTTCTCTGTTGACTCTGGAGGAAGGTCCGTGTCATCAGTCTTCCCTTGGTCTGGGAACACCTCAGGTCCGAAGGATGTGCTCTGCTCCTGGTGCTTTCTTGGTGGTGTGAGGTTCCCATGTGTCTCTGCTTGCTTCTCTCTTTTATATCTCAAAAGAGATTGGCTTAAGATACTTAAGATACTATCCAATCTTGTATACCTCATCAGTATAACTGCCGCTAATCCATCTTATTACATCATAGGGACTGAATTTACAACACATAAGGAAATCACATCAGATTACAAAATGGTACACAGTCTTATAATACTGGGAATCATGACCCAGCCAAGTTGACACATATTTTTGGGGGACACAATTCAATCCATGACAGAGGCTGTGGTTCGTGTAGACTGTTGGTCCTGTGGACTAGTTTCTTCTGTTTCCTTCTTTTGCTCAGGGTGAGTAGAGACCAATAGTATTTTAGATGGTTGCTCGCTAACTTTTAATATCCCAGACGCTACTCACCAAACTAGGATGTAGGGACTGTGGTCCTAATCCTTCAAACCCAGGAAACCAATCCCATGAGGTATTTGGTTATGTTTAAAAAGTACCCGTATCTGTGCCCCCTATGTGCTTTATTATGTATATGAATATATGGGCATGTAATCACATACATGCATATACATATACGTATGCACACACCTATATATACTCACATATGCATACCTGTACACGTATGTTTACATACATACATACATATATGTAATTACACATGTATATGTATATAATTAACCTGCAATATGCAGATGACATAACCTTGCTTGCTGAAAGTGAAGAGGACTTGAAGTACTTATGAAGGAAGATCAAAGACTATAGACTTCAGTATGAATTACACCTCAACATAAAGAAAACAAAAATCCTCACAACTGGACCAATAAGCAACATCATGATAAATGGAGAAGATATTGAAGTTGTCAAGGATTTCATTTTCCTTTTATCTACAACCAGTGCCCATGGAAACAACAGTCAGGACACGAAGTGGCGTATTGCATTGGGCTAATCTGCTGCAAAAGACTGCTTTAAAGTGTTAAAAAGCAAAGATTCACTTTGAGGACTAAAGGGCGCCTGACCTGAGCCATGATGTTTTCGGTTGCCTCATATGCATGTGAGGAGTCCTGGTGGTGCAGTGGTTAAGAGCTCGACTGCTCACCAAAAGGTCAGCCATTCAAATCTACCATCTGCTCTTTGGAAACCCCATGGGGCAATTCTACTCTGTCCTGTAGGGTCACTATGAGTCGGAATCAGCTCCTCAGCAGCAGGTTCATATGCTTGCAAAAGCTGGGCAATGAGTAAGGAAGACCAAAGAAGAATTGATGCCTTTGATGTTGGCGAAGAATATTGACTATACCATGGACTGCCAGAAGGACGAACAAATCCATTGCTGTAAAAAAATAAATTAGTATAGTGCTTACAAAGATACCATGCCGGGCAGAGGGAGCAGTTGGCAAACAAATATAGAAGACATTCATTGTTTATATAAGAAATATGGTAATTGGGATTTCCAGGCTGCTGGCTTCTTCAGCTCCAAGTCTGGGATATAAGAAGCAAGAAGAAAACCCAGGGAACTCACCACTGTGTCATTCCTTGGGTGCTACGGTCCCTAGTCTGATTTCTTCTCCACTTTTCAGAGTCTTCTTATGCTTGTTTTATATATAATATCCAGATTTTTAGTTGTACTTAGGAAGAACAGGATACATCTATTCCGTCTCCTCAGAAGCAGCAGAAGTCTCTAGACTGAATTTTTCAAATGACTGAAGAACTCACAAGTAGGAGCCAGCAGTTTTAAGATTTGTCAGTACAACCCGAAGTAATGCTAAATTTGGGAGAATGCAAGTGAAGAACATATGGTAAGGACAGGGTATTAGAGTTGCTTGGGTTATCTAGAACACAGTCTCTAAGGCCACTGGTTCACAGGGTTCCTCATGATGAAAAATTGCAGCAAATTCTGCCGTTCTCACCTGGGGGTATTCTTGGCTGTATGACAGTCAGAATGTTTTCTCAGTGTGTATTATTGAATATGCTGGTCTCTCTGACCTGCCTCTGGCCCAAGTTTTTTTTTATCAGCTGGGAAAAGTTTCTTCTAAAATGGTTTTGTTTTTGTCCCGTGAAAAGCACAGGGTGGTTGCCAGTGAGCCGGACTCTGCGTGGCCAGAGTGGTCTGCTTCATCTGTTCTGTGTGACTGCCAGGTCCTCATTTTTGATGGATTCACAGAAAGAAATGGGGTGGGGACAGGCTTAAGCAAGCTGTTGCTACCATCACCACTCCCTTTTTTGACAATTGAGGGAAAAGGCCAAATTTACTTTTGTTTTAACAAAACAAAAAGAATTTAAAACATAGAGTTGGCCTTTAAGACTTTAAAAAGTGTGTCTTAAAGCATTAGATAAATGAAGCGGTTGTTCCCCAACCTGGCTTGAAACAGTCTTTTGGGGAGATTCTTGGGCCCCACCCAAGGCCAACTGGGTCAAGATTATCAGGGTTGTGGGTTGGAAATACGTGTTTTCACAAGTCAGGCAATTTGGATACACGGCTATGTTTGCAAACAACTGCTGTAATCCAGTACCTGGACCTTATGTCTCACATTTGCTCTTATTTACATTTAATTTGGCCAGGAAACAATGAGAACATTCACCTGTACAGTCATATGCTGACGACTTTACAGATTGGCTGTTTATAGTTTCCTTTCATTCTTGGTGTCTGAGGAAATACTGGTATAAAGCGTTCAAGTGCTAGTGATGCCTTGAGCTGTCCCCTTTACCTTACCTCCAGCATTATCTCAGGGCAGGCAGGCAAAACCATAAAGGGAACCTGTGAGCACCATGAGGAGAAAACTTCTCCACGTCTCTCTTCCCCTCTGATCATTATTACAATATGAGAACAAGCATATGATGCCAAAGAAAGAACCCTTCCATCATTTTTTTAAATCCATTTGAAATATACTTCCAGACAAGCAAGCACTTTGCACACAGTCAATGTTCCAGTAAATATTGAAGTGATTGGATTTGGGGGAGGGAGGTGAGATTTGTGACTGCTGAGTACTCTGTGAGATGGGCTTAGAAGGTGCAGTTTGGGGTGTTTTCAGGAGAAGAAAGCCATCCTTAGCCAGAGGATGGGGGTGGTTTTAGGTACTACCCTATTTCTCTGCTCTAATCCTTCCGTGGACCACTTACTGCTGGTTACTTGGTGATGGTTTTCTCTCTTGCCTCTCCCCAGCTTTTTGTCACTTACTGCATACATATATTATTGTCATATAATACCTAAATAGTTTGCTATTCTAGAGTAATTCCTCCTTTTTGTACTTTAATTCCTTCCTTGACTATTTTCATTTTCCTTTAGATTGACTTACTTAGTGCCTCTCTGTGGCTCTCTTTCCACCTCCAACATGGGTTTGTGTCCTTGGGACCTTGAAATAAATTTGTCCCTAAATTATGAATAATTTGTTCACTGGACTGGAAAAAGTCATATGCATAATATGAATCTTATTCTAGTTTACCTGTGACAGCCAGGAATGTTACCTGCTTCCATTATTTCTAAAGTTTGTGTTTCTGGCTATAAAATATTATTTTCATGTAGATGAGCTGGGTTTTATTATGTGACTTTTTTCCTCATTTTTCTCCTCTGGGAAATTCCTTCCCCTTTCCATGAAATGTTGGCCCCTATATAACTGTCCCATGTTTTACAAAGACATCTCTCATCCGGCTTGTCCCACTCACAATAATCCTGCAGGGTTTTATGGACTGCATGAATCTGATCTCGACAAAGTCTTCCACTTGCCCACCACAACCTTCATTGGGGGAAAGGAGTCTGCTCTTCCGCTTCGGGAGATCATCCGTCGGCTGGAGGTAAGTAAATACAACTCAAGTTCCAAAAAAATCAGATGTACTTGCCAAGAACCTGTGTTGGCAGTATGACTTCAAGGCTATTTTTTTTTCTGTTTTGTGTTTTTAAAAATTTTAAGGGAAAGGGAACTTTTTTTTCTATTTTTTAGGCTGCAGATAGAAATCCATGTTTCTACGCTCAACCATAGAAAGAGGGGGACAGGTGGAAATCTGCGTTCAGATGCCACTGGAGTTTATTTCAGTTGTGTGATTGTTCCCTGAAGAATAAGTCCTGTCTTGAGCCAGGATACTCTCCCCTAGGCATGCTGGTTTCAAAGACTACTAGTGGCCTATTTTCTCCCTCATTCTCCCTCTCCTGTTCCGCTTGTCTCATCCTTCCCCTATTTTGTCTTTTTTTCTCCTCCTTTCTGGTTTTTATGTTAATACTAAGCCTGCCAGGGGCGTTCATTCACACACAGTACAGCATAATGGTTAGGAATGCAGGCTCTAGGGTTAGACTGCCTGGGTTCAAGTCCTTATCAGCCTCGGACAAGTTATTTAACCTCTGAACAGCCATTTCTTCATCTGTACAAGGAAGGTTAACTGCAACACCCGTCTGATAGGGATAGTTGTTAGCTGCCCTCGAGGCAGCCCCATGCACAATGAAACAAAACACTGCCCGTCCTGTGCCATCCCCATGAGTGGTTGCAGATCGGACCATTGTGATCCATAGGGTTTTCATTGGCAGATTTTCAGAGGTAGGTTGCCAGACCTTTAATCCTAGCCCACCTTAGTCTGGCAGCTCCGCTGAAACCTGCCCAGCATCATAGGGCTGGACTAGATTTAGTGAGGTGGTCCATGCCACATGTTTGTTCTTTATTATTCCTCACTGCTGCCGATGACATTCAGAGCTTAAGAATTGAAGTTGAGACAGACTGCTGTGCTTCTCAGAATTTAATGTGTATGCAGACCACCTGGGGGTCCTGTTGAAGGTGCAGATTCTGAATCATAGGTGGTACCTGGCATTTCTAACAAGCTCCCACTTTGGACTACACTGAGTAGCAGGGCTCCTGCAGTTCTCCACCTTGGCTGCACATTAGAATCAGCTGGGGAGCTTCCAGAAATCCCAGGGCCCAGGCCACAGCCTAGATCAACTAAATCAGAATCTTGGGCTAGGACCCTGGCATCAGTATACCATGAACACCCCAGTAGTTTCATTGAATAGCCAAGGTGGAGAGCCATGGCTCTAGTGAGTGAGATTTAACTTAAAATTCTCTTGTTGGTGCTTCCACATTTGACTGCCGAGTGGCATAAAGTCCTTCTGAGTATCTAGTAGTGACATTTTCTACAATATGTGACAAGCATCCTGCAGTAGTCTCAGCATCTTTACTTAGAGCTGCTTCACTCCTTTGTCTTTATCACTTCCAGGCTGATGGGGAAAGAGGGGATGGAAATCTGATGATGTAAGTGACAGCTTTCTTGATCTCTTCAGCATTACGAAAGTGATGGTTAGGATTGTTGTTGTTGTTAGGTGCTGTCAAATTGGTTCTAACTCATAGCGACCCTATGTACTACAGAACGAAACACTGCCGGTCCTGTGCCATCCTCACAATCGTTGTCATGCCTGAGCTCATTGTTGCAGCCAGTGTGTCAGCTCTTCCCTAGTCATCTTTTGTGTGCCTTCCAACCTGGGGAGCTCATCTTCTGGCACTATATCAGACAGTGTTCCCCTGCTATTCATAAGGTTTTCACTGGCTAATTCTTTTCAGAAGTACACTGCTGGGTCCTTCTTCCTAGTCTGTCTTAGTCTAGAAGCTCAGCTGAAACCTGTCCGCCATAGGTGACCCTGTTAGTATCTGAATACCAGTGGCAAAGCTTCCAGTATCACAGCAACGCACAAACCCCCACAGTACGAAAAACTTGACAGACATGTGGGGGATTAGCCCTAGGTAAATTGACCTTTAGATCCTTCCCATCTCCTTTACTTGCGCTCCAGTAATACCACCCTTGACCATAACCTGTAGATCTGTACTATCCAGCATGATAGCCACTAGCCACGTGCGGCTGTGAGCACTTAAAGTATGGCTAGTCTGAATTGAGACTAGTGTAAAATGCACACTAGATTTCAAAGACTTAGTACCCAAAAAAAAGAATGTAAAACTTCTCAATTTTTAAAAAATATTAATTATATGTTGTAATGATAAGGAGCCATGGTGGTGCAGTGGTTAAGAGCTCGGCTACTAACCAGAAAGGGCTGCAGTTCAGATCCACCAGCCACTCCTTGGAAACCCCACGGAGCGGTTCTGCTCTGTCCTATAGGGTCGCTATGAGTTGGAATCGACTCGACGGCAATGGGTGTGGTTTTTGGTTTAATGATAATGTTTTAGATATATTGAGTCAAATAAAATATGAAAATTAATTTTATCCATTTCTATAAGGAAATTTTGAATTGCATATGTGGCTTATGGTGGAATTCTATCAGATAGTGATGATCTAGAAGCTCTCATGTTGTCTCTACCCCATAAATGGCACCCTTTATAGACTGATCCTTCTTCAAATGGCCCTACCCCAAAGTTACTTCTCTTTCTTGTGTCAAATTCCTGCCCTAATGCCGGTATTTCCCACCCTATTCCCTCACTTTATTTCCCTCATTTGTAAATGCTAGGAAAGCAGTCTGATTAAACCAGTCAGCACTGAGAGATGACTCACAGCACTAGCACCTCCGAAACTTCAAAGGAGTGCTTGCTTTTTAACCCAAATGAATCTTCACTGGGGAGCTCAGCAGCTCATAGTTAAGCATGCCTCTCTAATTAGAAAGCCTTACCTGGGAAATGTCTTTTCCACAGCAAGCAACAGTGTCCCTTTTTTGTCTCAAGTTCAACTTTCCTTCCCGGAGAGGAGAAATAAAGGTGGGCGCAGGCATTGATGTACCCTGTGGTTAACTTGGAGGCCCTAGGTGGTACAAATGGTTAAAGTACCAAAGTCCACCCAGAGGCACCTCAAAAGAAAGGCCTGGTGGTCTGCTTCCAGTAGATCAGCCATTGAAAAAGGGGAGGGGGATGTTATTGCTTATGGAGTACTGAGTTTTGGTTTAGGGTGATGGAAAAATCACATTGATTAAGGGCAGGGTTACACAGCCGATTAATGGCTGTCAATAAGTTGTACACCTGTAAAAAGTTGAATTGGCAAAAGTTGTGTGATAGATATGTGTCAACAATGACAGAAAAAAGAAAAAGAGTAGCTGTTGAAGCTGCTTATGTACAACCAAACATCTTATGGGATTTGGTTTCTCGGTTTGAAGGTTTAGGGTCATGGTTTAATGAGCTATCCCACTTAATTGGCCTATTAACACGTTTAGTTCTTCTGTTCTACTCCTAGTTCCTTGTATATTGCCTGGGGTCTTAAAAGCTTGCAGAATCATCCAAGGCACAACAATTAGTCTCTGTTTGCCTGGAGCAACGGAGAAAGAGGGAGAGTCAGGAGTAAGAGGAGGAAATTGAATGTGTGGCTGATTGCCTCCATGAACAACCGCCTCCTTTGCCATGAGACCAGAAGGGCTGGATGGTGTCAGGCTACCATTACTGAACATTTTGATCAAGGATTCTATAGTGGAATCCTGATCAAAAGGGGCAAAATGACTTAACAGGATTTCAAATTCTGATGGACTCCAGACTTTCTAGAGCCATGGAGGCTAGATGAGCCTCTGAAACTGTTGCCCTGAGATAATCTTTAAACCTTAATCTAAAAATACCCCTGAAGCCTTCTTAAAACCAAACAGTAGTTTAGCTTAACTAATAAAGAATGTCTGCCTTGAGCATTGTGCTCTTTTAAAATCTATCAGGGATCAAATTGATGACAGCAACTCGAAAGATTAGATAGGAATCTTAGAGGGCAGTGAGTTATTGCAGTGGAGGTGGAACAACTTGGAAAGGGAAGGTGGGAATGGTTGTACAAATTGAAGAACGTAATCAGTGTCACTATATTGTACATGTAGAAATTATTGAATTGGTGTATGTTCTGCTGTGTATATTCTCAAAAACAACAATAAGAATAGCATAAGTTATATAAAAATAAAAATAAAAAAAAGGAATGAACCAGAACGTTAGAGCATGACTCTGCTACGATTTGCAGTTCAGACTTAGACCCCTAAGGGAAAACATGCCTTTTATTAGGCCAATGAGGAGAGTTAGTATTCACAACCACTCTTGCTGGGCCATGTCCTGTCAAATGTGTATGTGCAGAAATATGCTTTCTTCTGCTGATAAGTGGAGTTAAGGCACTGTGAACCCCAAACATCTGTCAAGGTTAAGTATGAACTTTACACTGACTTTGAAGTCAGAGAATGTGACTGAGCGATGCATACCGTTCCTGAAGTTCTTGCAGATCCAACAACTGTGATGTTTCCAGTTCTATCATCTTAGATGTTCACTAGGGAAATATGCTTTTGCGTTAGTAAAAATGCCTTAAATACCATGGTCTCTCCCAGCTCTATTTTCTCTGGATAAGATTTCCTTCTCTTGAATAAGATGATATCGAGAGTGCCGTGGGTTGCTATTGTGAAGTCAGGTTCCATGCTAGTGAATCCTGCCGACTATCCCAGTTGTACAAACCAGTCCAGGGAGACTAAGATCACCCACTTCGGACACCAAGTTGTGTGGTAGATAACAAATCCCACTCCACATAACCAGCTGCAGCCTATGGAAATCTAAGTTTCCCTTCTCTGTACAGTTTAGACCCCAGCTGCCCACACAGCCCTTCTGTCTCCCATCCCCAGCCACCCAGGGCTAGATCAGCAGGTACCGGCCACAATCTCAGGAGTCCACATGACTCTCTCCACTTCAAACCAGCCGACCCCAAATCTGGGGTTTTCCTCTACCCGTCAGGGTATTAGCCACAAGCCTGGGAATCCACGTGTCTCCTTATGCTTCAGTCCAGCCAGCTCCCCTTGCTCCTTTGGGTCCGATAATGTGGTGGAATGACCCACAGAATTTATGGAGAGTATACCATGCTCGGAAATCCTGGTGGCGTAGTGGTTAAGAGTTTGGCTGCTATCCAAAAGGTCAGCAGTTCTAACCCACCAGCCACTCCTTGGATACCCTATGGGGCAGTTCTACTCTGTCCTGTAGAGTTGCTAGGAGTTGGAATTGGCTCGACGGCAATGAGTTTGGTTTTTTACGTTTATACCATGCTTACTACAGATTTATTACAACCAGAAAGGATACAAAGAGACACATAGGGTGAGGTCTGGACGGATTCACAGCAAGAAGCTTCCTTGTCTCAAAGAAGGATGCGCTACCCTCTCCCGTGCGTGATCACCAACCAGGAAGCTCCTTCAGTCTTCCAAAGCCTTTATTGGCCTCAGCGCAGTGTCCATGATAGATCATATCATGCCTCCTGAACCTTAGTCAGCATTGGGCCCCCAGGTGGACCCTCTTGGTCTGGTCAGCCCCCACTCATTTGTCTCAGGTGTGGTCCAGCTTGCAGGACCAAGACAAGGGCCAGATGGCTTTCTGCAAGGTGATTTTCCTCATCTCATAGCCATTTTAATTCAGGCACATTTTACTTTGTGTCATAATCTTGGAACAGATTGTGTAATGATGGTCCATCCTTTCTTTGGAAGAAAGGGAAAAAGTAGAGAACATGGACTAAGTTCAAATCCTGGCCCTGCCACTGTGATTTTGGGCAAATTATTTAACTGATCTGTGCCAACCAAGTTCCCCTGTCTATTGTTATGAAAACTAAGTGGGGTCATGAATGGAAACCTGGTAGTAGAACTTGGCATTCTATAAGTAAATGGTGGCTGCTCCTAAGACATTGAAAAGAATGTTGCTAAGATCTATAAAATGTCTCTATTGGCCTTTAGTCTTACTGGGGTTTCACGTTCAAGGCCCATTTCCTTATTCAGTGTTTAAGATCTTCATTCTGATACCCCCAAATAGCTGTAGCAGTTGGGGAAGGAAGGTGAGTATTGGCCACTGTGGCTTTCATGTCAAGCCCAGGGCTTATCAAGGGTTTGGGCTCCAAGGAGGGCCATCAGGGTTTCTAGAGGATTCTGGTTCCTGGGTGTACGTCTTTCTTATGCTTATGCGAGCTTTCCCTTCTCTTCCTGTTCTTTGCTTCTAAATTTTCTTTCCCATGAACTCTGACTCTCCCTGGGTCTCCCACCCGGTTCAGAGCTGGACTGGCATACTGACCACCTTTCCTGAGGTTTTGGGGGATGTTACAGCCCCTGCCTTGGTGTAGTGATAGGTGCACAGTCATGTGGGAGGCCTGATCTATTTAGGACCTTTCTTTTGTAATATGTCCAGTCATGCTTCTTTAGGACCCTGTAGTTCCTAAGAGGAGTTGGTTATTACAAAGTAGAACTTAAAAATTTTAAAGCCTGCAAACCTTAATTAAAATGATCATTTAGCTATGTTCTCTGCTAGCATGGTGTAGGCCTTTCTTTCTCCTTGGTGCTGGGCACAAGCCTGACCTTAAGGTCAGGGAAACCACTTTGCTGGGGGTATCATACCTTTCTCGGGGAATGACCTGGATCCCAAAGCTGATGCCGTGTTTTCTCCCTGCTGAGAGTAAGGGAGTGGAGTTGGGGAAGTTGTTCTTTGGCTTGGCCCCTGAGGGAGGTGTGGAGGTCTTGCTGTCCTTAACTGTCATCCTGGATCTGTGTACATGTAACCTGGTCCCGGAAGAGAGCATTTTATGGCCAAGTTTGGAGTGAGAGAAGGTGGCTGGGCCTGGTGCTGGCACCACTCTGCTCCCTTGGGCTACACCTGCATCCTGGTGAGTTTTAAAAGGAAGCCACTTGACTGTTCCTCTCCTGCCTTCTAGGTGAATGAGTGGTCAACATTTTTTGCATTCAACCAGATCTAACTAAAAATCCTGTTTGCCATGTGCATCTTTATGAAACAGATGGCCTATTGTCAGCATATTGGAGTGGAGTTTATGTTTATCAATGACCTGGAGCAGTGCCAGTGGATCAGGGAGAAGTTCGAGACTCCTGGAATCATGCAGTTCACAAACGAGGAGAAACGAACCCTGCTGGCCAGGCTTGTGCGGTCCACCAGGTATCTGTCTGGCCTGTGGGAGGCAGCACCTCGGAGCTGGATTCCCAAAACATGAGCCTTCCAGGAAAGACGTAGTCCTGGATGTGAGAACACTTAAGCCCTGCAGTGCAGCCTCTCATCCATGGTGTGGCCTTCGTAGCCTCCCTTTTGGGAGGGTGGGCCTCGGAGGTGGCACACAGTCTCACCTTTGAAAGGAGAGCCCCTCTGCCTGACCTTTTACACCTAACGTTTGTTGTTTAGGAGTCCCTGGGTGGGGCCGGTGGTTAACGTGCTCGCCTGCTAACCAAAAGGTTGGAGGTTCATGTCCACCTAGAGGCATCTCAAAAGAAAGACCTGACAGTCTACTTCTGAAAAATCAGCCATTGAAAACCCTGTGGAGCACAGTTCTACTCTGACACACATGGGGTCACTATGAGTTGACTCAACAGCAAATGGACTGGTTTTTGTTGTTTTGGAAAGTCTGACTTTGGGATTCAGTCCCTGATGACATTGTCTTTAGGATTCCTTGGGCTCTTCTTCCAGGTTTGAGGAATTCCTTCAGCGGAAGTGGTCCTCTGAGAAGCGCTTTGGTTTGGAAGGCTGTGAGGTGTTGATTCCTGCCCTGAAGACCATCATTGACAAGTCGAGTGAGAATGGAGTCGATTATGTGATTATGGGCATGCCGCACAGGTAACTGTCAGGGAGGCTTCTGCAGCAGCGGGGGCCCTCTTGCCTGACCCCTTCCCCGTCTGCTTGTTTCTCTCACCATTGCCTATTGGGCAAAGAAAGCCACTTGGTTTCCTGCCCCATCCATGTGTAATCTTTCATGCATTTAAGTCACTGGGTCATAGGTATCCCTTCTGATTTAAATTCCAGTTAGTGTGCCTGAAGGAGGACTGCCATTCTGGTATGAGAGTGTCTTATTTTCCAGGAGTTCTTGCATTGTCCCTGATTCAGGATGATCATTGTTCTTGCTGCAAGTTGCTTCTTCTCAGTTTGGAAAGTCGCTATCATATCCAAGGCCACATGTTTTAGACAAGTCATCCTGGCCTTGGGTTATATTTTTATAGAAAGTAAACCAAAAATACCCTTGCCAGGGACCATAGCAGAAGGGAGATGCTAACCCGGTGGGAATGGCACTCTCCTTGACATGAGCGCAGAAGGCAGGAAGAGCATGTGTGAGTGGGAGGCTAGACCACACAGCACACACCAGCGGGCGACCCTGCGTCTCTGCCGCTGCCACTCTGCCCACCCCACTATGTGACCTCCATTCAGGTACCAGGGAGTACGGGCCCGGTGTCTGCTAGCAGCGCTGGGTCTCAGTTCTCCTTATGTTGCATGGTGCAGAGGTGCTGTGCACAGCAGGTGAGGGCAGCGGCGGGAGGAAGGCTGGTGGCTCGCTGTCTGTAGAGCACTAAATGGGGAGGGGTCCACTGGGGGCCGACCCCAGCGAGCCTCATGCCAGCATTCATCTGCCCCGTGTGCCACAGAGGGCGGCTGAACGTGCTCGCAAACGTCATCAGGAAGGAACTGGAGCAGATCTTCTGTCAGTTTGATTCAAAGCTGGAGGCAGCTGATGAGGTGAGTCACCTGTATTTCTTTGGAGAAACTTTTCCAGCAGAGCTGTAACCCTGATCATTGTTTTCCTGCCTGGCACATTTTGGCTGGGCTGAGTGTATGAGTATCCCATGTCTAGACAAGACCTCCCTGGCTCTGTCTGTTTCTGGGAAAAGATTTATTAGGGCTGGGATCCTCCATACCCTTTTAGTTTCCCTCTCTGCTTAAGAGAATCTGAGAATCAAAGAAGGTGGCCAGTGGTGGACCACTTCAGGACCTGTACTATGATGAGGGGAAGGGGCATTCATAGTAATACCCTGTCGGGAGGCGAGTCAGTACTATTTGCTTGGAGACCTTCTCCCTGTGCCTGGTCAGAATACTCCTTAGCAGAAGGCTTTCCCATTCTTTCAAGGAATGGGGGTTCTGGGAGTGGAAGTAAAGTATAATGGGTCTTTGTGAAGGGATACACTCATAGCTCTTCCCTGTAGCAAGAACGTGAATTTTCCTTGCCCAGTGTGAAGATGCACAATTATTTGTACTTTTAGGGCTCTGGAGACGTGAAGTATCACCTGGGCATGTATCATCGGAGGATTAACCGCGTGACAGACAGGAATATCACTCTGTCCCTGGTAGCCAACCCTTCCCACCTTGAGGCTGCTGACCCTGTGGTGATGGGCAAGACCAAAGCTGAGCAGTTTTACTGTGGGGACACTGAAGGGAAAAAGGTGAGGGCCACTGGGCAAGGCCTGTGAGGACGCAGCTTCCCACTGAGTGAAGCAGTCCCTCCCAGCCTCCTAAACAGGATGGAGTCTGCACTCGCTGGCAGTGTTGTGAAGCCCCTTGGCATGTCTTAGACTTCACATCTCTGGAATTTAAAGAAGTATTCTAAATGAGCTTTATAAGAGTAGCAAACAGCAAAATAGTCCCACTTACAAATATGCTGTCTACCAAAGATGTAGCCACCAAAAATAGGAAGGGATTTACTTGCTTCTGTTTTCATCACATCTGTGGAGAAGCCAGTCTTACACAAATATTACTAAATGGCTAAAGGAACATGTTTACTGAAAAGGAGGAGAAAGTCTTAGTAAGGAGAAGTATAGGTAAGCCTGAAGGAGAAATGTCAAGCTGACAAATGTGTGAGAAGAGAAGGTCTCATTGTTATCAGGGGGGAAGTAAGTTCATGATACCATTTAGAAGTGTAGGAAGACGGACTGGAAGCTCTGGCTGTGCCTGATTCTGGCGTTTACCTCTGTGGTTGTTTTTCAGGATTTACACGTTAATTGAATGCTGATTTCCCAGCCAGTGAGTGTCCAGATATCCTCAGTTGATTGTAACCATTTCCTCTTATTGAATCTCAAGATGACAGATATCCCAATATATCATTCTTATTAATGATGACCTAAAACCAAGCAATGAAAGAATCATATATTTGCTAAGTGCCTCCCGTGTGCACCTGGGGAAGATAAGAAATAGGCTGCCTTGACCTTGCTCTCAAGGATGTAGAAATAAGATAATATGTAACAAAGCTAATAGAACATACAACAGCATGATATAACACTGCTAAGTTAACTGGTGAAGAACTTGAGAAGAGGAATATACAGGTTCAGGCTAGAGTTGTAAAGGAAGAGGATTAAAAGGCCATCAACCGTCTTTTCAAGGAAGGTAGTTCTCATACTTAATGAGAAAAGAGGTAAAAATGGTAGGATTTAGATAGGTGAGAAAGGAAAAACATTTTGTGGAGATGAAAGATAGGAGCGAAGATGGAGACGGGAGAGTTGGGCAGAGCAGGAAGAGGCCAGCTCCCCTAGGGGGAAGAGTAAGACTGGCTCAGGAGAGAGGTCACGTTTTTCATTAGCGGGGGAACCAAGTATTAATTTGCCTGGTTCTGTAAATAAATCTACTACTATTATGCTTGGAGGATCAGAGAACAGAAACTGCTTTCAGGAGCTGATGGAATCTAGACTAGAAGGATGGCATCAAGAGAGGAAGGAGAGCATGCATTTGAGTAATGTCTTGCAAAGAAAATGGCAGCCCCACAAAGGATAGGGAACCTCCTGTCTGCAGTGCGCTTTCAGACGGTTCAAAAAAAAGATGCATGACCGCATGACGGTGGAGATACGCAGACGGAGCAAATACAGTAGCATGTAAACAGTTGGGAGAGATGGGTGAAGGGGATACTGGGGTTCTTTGTACTCTTCTGTAACTTTTTCTATGTTTGAAATTATTTCAAAAGTTGTTTTAGAACACAAATTTTGATTTTATTTCCGCTATCTTTGTGGGATTTGGTGGTGAGAAGAGTCTGTGTGTCTTCAGGTCATGTCCATCCTTCTGCACGGAGACGCTGCATTTGCTGGTCAGGGCATTGTGTACGAGACCTTCCACCTGAGTGACCTGCCATCCTACACCACGCACGGCACCGTACACGTGGTCGTTAACAACCAGGTAACTTGAAGGCCCCCGTATTCGGCCCTGGTGTGGCCGTCTTTGCAGTGGTGAGGGCGAAGGAATCATTCTTGGTTTTTCCCATTGCGTCTGAATTTCTGATCACATGTTCTCCTAATGGTTCCGTAGTCACATCAGTCTTAGAACTGATATCGCTTCATTATGTAGAACATTTATTGTTTTTTTCTGATTATGAAAACGTCTATTATAAAAAATTTACAAAACACAGGAAAAAAATGTTTTAAGTGGAGAGATTTTCATTGCATTATTTAAGATAGTATTATTTTAGAATATTTTCTTCCAGACATTTCTGTGGTGAGCCCACATGCACACAGATGGCTTTTTCTTTTTTTTATTGTAGTGAAAATATACATATATCAAAACATTTGCCAACACTTATTTTTAATCTTTTTTAAAGGAAACTGGGGTGATACATAGTTTTATATCCATTTCTTTTTATCACATTATTTTCTCATGTCATTTCATACTCTGTTAAAATATTAATTTTTATTAATTTTAATGGAAATTTCCATTACAGAATTGTTTTATAGAATAGACATTGCCTTACTGTTAGACTTTTAGGATTCTTTCTCATTTTTTATTGTTTTAAGTAATGCTGCGATGGACATTCTTGTAAATTAATATTTCTGCACAACTCATCTGTAACCCTAAATGCCTTCTGTTGGTGTATCTGAGGGGCATCTCACCAGCTTTGTGAGCTCCCACCTAACAAATGTGTGAGTGCCTTTCACGGACAGGCACTTGCACAAACACTGGCGGGAACGAGTGCCACCATGGCACTTGGAGTCACTTGAGTGTATAAGTGCCATGGAGAAGTGGACAGAACGCTGGGGAAGTGCAGATGGGCTCACAACGTGTCCAGTTAGTCAGCAAAGGCTTCTCTGATGATTTGACATTTAAGTGGAGACCTAGAGGTCAAGTAGGCAAACGCTGGGGACCGGCAGGGCAGGAAAGAGCTTTCTGTGTCCGGGGCATTGGAGGCAGGCTGATAGAGCTGACTATGGTCACTGCACTGGAGAGCTGCCAGCCGCCAGCTCCTGGCCCAGCCCCACTGAGGGAAACGCACTTTATTCCAAATGCATTGGAAAGCCATTGGAGGGATTCAAGTGAGGAAGTAGCAAGTTAGTTTGTTTTATGAAGATGATTTGTTATTACATGCAGAACAGATTAGAGGGAGACAGAGAAACAGTTGCTGTTGTCCTAGCAAGAGGTAAAGAGGAAAGAAAAATATGGTGTTCGCTATGAAGTGGACACTAAAGAGCTCAAAGTTTAGAAGGTCAGGTGCAAAAAGAAGGGAAGAACATTATCAAATATGACCGTAACAACACAATATGATAAAGTATTAAGTGCCTGTAAGGCCAGACACTGAACGAGGCACTTAATATACGTCAACTTAATCCTTAGTTGTTACCCATGCAGTGGGTGGTGATGTTCCCGTTTTACTTAAGGAAAAGTTAAGTAGCAGAGAGCTTTAGTAGCTTGCTTAAGGTAAATGGCCGAGCCAGTATTTGGTCTGCTTTTCTTCAGAGAATGGTATCAGGAAGACTTTTGGGAAAATGCTAAGGAAAGAGAGCCTTTTTAAAAAGCCACTAAACTGTGTTTTAAGCAAAGAGGTGACCAAGGCCAGGATGGCCTCACTGCTTGTAGATAAGATACTGAAATATTGACAGGAGAATGGTCTTCAGTTTGGAAAAAGTACAGCAAAGATGGTTAGAGGGATTGGAAGCCTACAGGAGAAGAATAATATTTTCATTTAAAGAAAAAGAAAAAGATTCCATGAGTAAAATTGCTGGACTCAGTTGAACTACATCCTAGGAGATTTAAAAAGATTATTTACTCGGATGGCAGAACCTATTTAGTAATCTCTTATGAATCTTGGCAGATAGGAGCTGTGCCAAAGACATTTTTATTTTGTTTTAAGGAAGAAAAAGGGTGGGTCCTAGAAACTGTAGGCTAGTGAATGTACTTCTGTCCCTGGAAAAAGACTTGAATAGATTATTAGCTTAGAAGAGGGAGCGTCCCAGGCAGTGAGGCCCTTAGTCAAGTCCTTCATTTTATCTGTTTGGCTACAGTGGAAAAATGTGATATGGATAGTAGTGTAGTTATATGGCTTCTTACCTGATTTCAACACTGGAAAACATCACTTAATAGACGGGCGTCAGCAGCACACATGTTCTCCCTGTAGCCCTGTGGGTTCAGCATTTCTGTCAGTAACAGATGGAAGCTACCTTTATAGATGACCCAAAGCTTAGGGAAGAGCTGAGCTATTGCAGTTCAGAATCAGGAGTCAAAACTCCATTCACAATATTGAAGTACAACCAACAAGATAAATTTAGAAACAAGTGCTAAAGTCAAACATTTAAAAAAAAAAAAAAAAAGTAAGTTTTTTAGTTGTTAACAATTTACATACAGTAAAATTTGCCCATATTTGTATATAGTTCTCTGCATTTTGGCAAACATAGTCATGTAACCACCACTACAATCAAGATACAAAAGTTTACCCCAAAAACATTCCCTTGTACCCCTTTGAGGTCAGCCCTATTCCTGACTCTCGTTCTGTCAGCCTCTGGCAACCACGGATCAGTGTTCTGCCCCTATAATTTTGCCTTTGCCAGAATGTCTAGTAAGTGCAGATACAGAGTCTATAGATTTTTTAGTCTGGCTTCCTTTTTTTTTTTTTTTTTTTTTAAATAATATTTTATTGTGTTTTCGGTGAAGGTTTACGCAGAAGTTTAGGTTCCCATTCAACAGTCTCTACACTGAGTCTGGCTTCTTCTAGTCAGCATAATCCACTTGAGATTCATCCATGCTGTTATGTGTACCCATGGTTTACTTCGGATTGCTTAGTATTCAGTTATATGGATACACCACAGTTTGTTTATTCATGTACCTGATGAAGATCATTTGGATTGTTTCCAGCTTTTGGTGTGTATATAAGTTTTCACTACTCTTCGTGAATACCTAGAATACAGTTGCTGGCTCATATGTTAATGAACTGCCAAACTCTTTTCTAAAATGTCTGTGTACTATCTTGCGTTCTTACCAGCAGTGAGCTAGAGTTTCAGTTGCTCAACAACCTCGTCAGCATGTGGTATTGTCCATATTTTTTATTTTACCCATTCTACTAAATGTATCCACCACTCGTCTGTCAGTTTGTTGTACTGTAGTGGCTTATGTATTGCTGTGATGCGGGAAGCTATGCACTGGTGTTTCAAATACTGCAGGGTCACCCATGGTGGACGGGTTTCAGTGCAGCTTCCAGACTACAACAGACTAGGAAGAAGGACCTGGCGGTCTGCTTCTGAAAAAATTGGCCAGTGAAAACCTTATGAATAGCAGCGGAACATTGTCTGATACAGGGCCAGAAGATGAGCCCCTCAGATTGGAAGGCACTCAAAAAACAACTGGAGAAGAGCTGTCTCCTCAAAGTAGAGTCAAAATTAATGACATTGATGAAGCCAAGCATTTGTGACCTTCATTTGCTGATGTGGCACGACTCAAAAAGAGCAGAAACAGCTGCAAACATCCATTAATAATCAGAACATGGAATGTACAAACTATGAATCTAGGAAAATTGGAAGTCATCAGAAATGAAATGGAACACATAAAGATCGATATCCTAGGCATTAGTAAGCTGAAATGGACTGGTATTGGCCATTTTGAATCAGAAAATCATATGGTCTTCTGTGCTGGGGATGGCAAAGTGAAGAGGAATGGCATTGCATTCATTGTCAAAAAGAACATTTCAGGATCTATCCTGAAGTACAACGCTGTCAGTGATAGAATAATATTCATTTGCCTACAAGGAAGACCAGTTAATATGACTGTTATTCAAATTTATGTACCAACCACTAATACTAAAGATGAAAAAATTGAAGATTTTTACCAACTTCTGCAGTTGAAGTTGATTTTTTTTTTATTGTGCTTTAGGTGAAAGTTTACAAAGCAAATTAGTTTCTCATTAAATAGTTAATATGCATATTGTTTTATGACATTGGTTCCCAACCCCGAGATGTGTCAACACTCCCTCCTTCTCAACCTTGGGTTCCCCATTTCTATTTGTCCAGCTTTTCTATCCCCTCCCGCTTTCTCATCCTCACCCCTGGGCTGGTGTGCCCATTTAGTCTCATATACGTGGTTGAGCTATGTGTATTATTGTTTGTTTTATAGGCCTGTCTAATCTTTGGCTGAAGGGTGAACCTCAGGAGTGACTTCAGTACTGAGTTAAAAGGGTGTCCGGAGGCCATCCTCTTGGGGGTTTCTCCAGTCTCTGTCAGACCAGTAAGTCTGGTCTTTTTTTGTGAGTTAGAATTTTGTTCTACATTTTTCTCCAGCTCTGTCTGGAACCCTCTATTGTGATCCCTGTCAGAGCAGTAGGTGGTCTTAGCCAGGCACTATCTAGTTGTGCTGGACTCAGGCTGGTGGAGGCTGTGATAGTTGTGGTCCATTAGTCCTTTGGATTAATCTTTCCTTTGTGTCTTTGGTTTTCTTCATTCTCCCTTGCTCCAAACGGGGTGGGACCAGTAGACGTATCTTAGATAGCTGCTCACAAGCTTTTAAGACCCCAGACACTCCTCACCAAAGTAGGCTGTAGAACATTTTCATTTTAAACTATGTTATGCCAGTTGAGCTAGATGTTCCCCAAGACCATGGTCCCTCAGCCAGTAATTTGGTTCCTCAGGGAATTTCGTTATGTCTATGAAGCTTCTGTGACTTTGCTTTGGTCAAGTGGTGCTGATTTCCCCATTATTGCGTGCTGTCTTACTTTTCACCAAAGTTACTGCTTATTTATTGTCCAATTAGTGTTTTTTCCTCCCCCTCCCTCCCCTCCCTGGTAGCCATCAAAAATCGTTTCTTTTTGTGTGTAAACTTTTCATGAGTTTCATACAGTATTTGCCCTTTTGTGATTGACTTATTTCACTCAGCATAATGCCCTCTGGATTCATCCACGTTGTTAGATGTTTCACCGATTCATCATT